TCCGTACCCTCGCCTTCCAGTCAAAACACATGCCACCACTACTTTGCTATGAGGCACTTATCCATGCTAATTGTTAGGAAATAGACAGACATTGATTTATAAAAAAATGCCAATTACCCCTTCTTTTCCTCACCTTTCTAATTTTTAAAATACTGCGAAAGGACGACTGATTATTACTCCTAAAGATTCACTAAAGGGCCTAGAAAACTCAAACTTAGACTTGACATGAAATTCAGAAATAAAATGCCAAAAGTTCAAGGTGGGATCCGAACCCTCGCCCTCCACTCTTATATCGAATACTCACATTGCAGTTCCAAAATAGGACCGACTGTTAATAATCCTGGCATTTAACATTCCTAGAATGCTTCATCGGCGTTGTTTCTTCATATTTTAACGCTGTCAGTTCGTGAGGTCTCATTAAGATTTGACATCCTAATGAATAAATGATTTCCAGTGAAAGTTTAATCGGTTTTCTATAGGCAAGTGGGCTTTACTCTTTATAAGGAAACGTGTGGTAACTCAGCAAATTCAGGTAAGACTTGTCACCGGATAGAGTTTACAGATTACCAGGTGATTTGCATTTTTCCTTGTCGCATGATGCTTTTTGTGTTAATCTTTAAAATCTACTGGACTCAAAACCATCCCTTCTCTGAGGAATTCATCGAGCATGTGCAATTGAAGTACTCCCGAAGCGATGCTCATTGCTCTGTGCACATTCGGTTCGCTGTCGTGATATTGGCGATCAATGCGTTGTGCTGCGTTCAATCAAAAATGTATGGACAAAAGATCGAATTGGAAAGAGCGAAAATCAGTTGTTAGTCATGGAGATAAGGCGATTTTTTGAAATCTGCTGGAGATTTTGTGGAAACGGATCATGAGATATCGCAACTTTTGCATTTTTTCATAGTTCGATTGAAGTTTATGAACCGCTTCAATTCATTACACACGATGATATTCATATGTTCAATCGATAGTGTGGTTTTTAGTTGCGATGACTTTGTTTAAGTCATGGAGGGCAATAATTTCGTTGTTCTTGTTTTATTTTTCATGTGGAGCACGTTTTCAAATATTTTGTCAGTTAACGCAATCCACCCTTAATTAATACGTTGATTACATCTCTTTGACTTCGCTCGATTTACGTCAATTTTTTTGTGTTTGCAGTAAAAGTTTCGAAGTCCGAACTTGCCTTCGAACGGATCTACACGAAAATGGCCACCGGAGTGATGCTTAAAACATGCTACGTGGCCACCACCATTGGCATGTTCATTTTCATCGGAACAAGTGAGTGTTGTTGCGTTGATTTCTTGACTTTTCGTTTCTTGACAAAACGGTTCAGTTTCAGTTTTTGTTCACCGTTTTCTTTTGCTTTTCTTTCCTCCCATAACTGGTTGCAGTATTTCGGTTGGTCAGCAAAAATCTATCACTTGATTATGAAGCAATTTTTATCACATATATAATTTATCAGTGAGTTATCACATAAGATATCAAATTCTGATGTGAAATTCAATATTGGATTCTTTTCAGTATTATTCTATATGTTATCTGGTCAGGGTTCTCGCTACAGCGTTGCATGGCTTCTCACCCAAACTTCACCCCACATGTGGGCTGCACTCGGTATTGGCGCATCACTGTCGCTGTCTGTGATCGGCGCTGGATGGTAAGTTCCAATTTTTATGGAAACCCTCAGCAAAATGAAATCGAGATCGCAATTTATCATCATCACGATCATTTGCAAATTTCATCATGTGATCCTTTAGTCGCCTCATTTCTAATGACTTCAGTCAGAATATATTTGATGAATAACATGTGATAATTGCCAGTTAAGTATGCTTTGAAATATGTTCACCAATTGGTTGTTTGGTTTGAGTGAAGGCATGTTTCTCTGTTTTTAGGGGTATTTTCACAACTGGTGCGTCGATTTTGGGTGGTGGCGTGAAGGCACCCCGAATCCGAACCAAAAATTTAGTGTCGATTATTTTCTGTGAAGCAGTCGCTATATTCGGCATTATTATGGCGTTTGTATTCATCGGAAAGCTACAGGTGCCTTTTGCTGCTTACAGTTTTAATTGACACAGGTCGACCATACCCTTCAAATGAGGCTTATTATGCCACGAAGCTTATTCTGAGACTGCATCACTCCGAGTTCACACTGAAACATGAGTCGACGATTGAGATTCATCAAGAGCTTAAGATAGGGGACGAGTGTTGTTTGAATTGAATCAGGAAGATATCAGAGTTGGATTATCCATAAACACCTCATTCTTGAGACGTTAGCATATTTACAGCCTTTCACGCGTGACGGTGCCACTGAGGCGGTGATATCGAAGAATTTAGCCGCTGGTTATATGCTGTTTGGTGGTGGCCTCACAGTTGGCTTCAGCAATATGGTTTGNGGAATTGCCGTCGGTAGGTTGATTGATCAATCTCTATCCACTTTTAAGTAATTTCTTATAGATTTCCTCGTTGAATCATCCGCGAGTTTGTTTCATTCATTCGAAGTCACCTAAAATTCCAGTAATTCTTCGTCGAGTAGTGACATCTTCGATAAATGGTTGTTTCGGTCTGAAATTAAAGTTGTCCGGAGCATTCTGCAGTTGATTTTCCAGTTGATTTTAGGTATTGTGGGTAGTGGGGCAGCACTCGCAGATGCAGCCAATCCGGCACTCTTCGTTAAGATTCTCATCATCGAGATTTTCGCTTCTGCGATCGGTTTATTCGGAATGATCATTGGTATTGTACAGGTGCGTTCGTTTATCTTTCGACTTTTTTGTTCGCAGAGCTTCTGTCCCTTTTGAGATTTTTCTGAACAGAATCCTTGGAAACTTTGATATTAGATCAGTTGGATTCTGTGTGCAGTTGAGAAGTCATATACAGAAATAGGGAGGTATCTGTGTCACGTGTGGTTTCTAAAGAAATTACTGAGTGCTCTCTAAAACTGATCCAAATATTTCAGACGAACAAAGCAACGATGGGAAATCATGCG